GTGGAAGGCCGAAGGAATAGCGGAAGTAATAAAATTACTTAGCAAGGGAAGGTCTGTTACTGATAGGACTTTTGGGAGGTTATTAAATCACAGACTTTCCATGAGACAGAAGCCACTTGACAGCACTTAAGAATAAAATACTGGCACCACTTCCTTGCCTTGGATCTCACTGTAACCACTGTCCCATCTTTAAAGGTCCAGATAGATCTGAGTGCAACAGAAGCCTGAGATATACACCACCTGTTGGTCCTTTGCAAGGAGACATTCCTTCTTCTAGATACCTGTCTTGCTTGCAGGTGAGCAGGACGCACTTTATGTGAATTCTGGCAGGCTTTGTCTTCTCTGGGAGGGACCCCTGTGCCTGCCAATTTCATGGAATTTTGTCCCCAGCTTTTTAAAAAACAGTTAAATGTGGGTGTTGATTTTCCCATTGTAGTCAATGAGAAAAACATCCAAGATTTTTTAAAAACAAAGTGAGGATCTCTCTTGGATGAAAGCCAAAATGTGATGTCAGTCTAAACCTCAAAACCAGTGAGTCGCCAAGTCGTGCTCTGAATGTGTTTGCTTTTTAGGGGCTCCAATCAGATAATGAATTGAAGGCAGCATATGGTAGTCAAAAATACAAAATCTCAAGCGGGAAGCTGTTGGTTCCCAAGTGTTTGTACACTGATACTGTATTGTTTGATGGCTGCATTGTTTCTGGCAGAAAAGTAATGGGGCAGGACTGATGTGTGTTTACTCAAAAATAAGTTCCACTGAGTCATTCCCATGTTCACAGAAAGAATTATATAGGACAGCAAAGAATATTGATAAATGTACATTAGCCAAAATATAGTTAAGTTACACTAGCAGAAGGGAAACAAAGTAACTTGTAATGGCAAATTGCCACTAATTAACTAGTCTCCATCTGGATTCCTGTGTAAATCCATTTACGCAAGAGGAACATGTGATTATCTAATTAAAATTTACGCAAGATGAATATGTGATTATCTAGCGATAGATAATTAAAATTTACCTCGTTTCCCCGAAAATAAGACCTAACCTGAAAATAAGCCCTAGTTTGATTTTTCAGGGTGCTTGTAATATAAGCCCTACCCCCAAAAATAAGCCCTAGTTAAGTGAAACCCCATCCTCCACCATTCTTCACCAACCAGAAGAAGATGACATGACTGTATCTGAATAAATGTAGATTGTTTTACATGAAAAAACAAAACATCCCCTTAAAATAAGCCCTAATGTGTTTTTTGGAGCAAAAATTAATATAAGACCCTGTTATTTTCAGGGAAACATGGTACTAATTTGCATAATATTTGAGTTTCATCTTCTGCTGTTAGGCAATTCATTGCATTGTTACCAAAGCAGATCTGACTTACAGTGAAAGCTTTCCGTTCTGCATGCTATTGAAAAGAGAACATTGAACGTATAAAAGGAAGAGCTTATTATATGTGAGACAAAAGATTGTATCAAGCATATAGCACATCAGAGCTAAGTATTTTAAAATGTGCAGAGTAACCAGGAACTTGAGAAATTTATATGTATGATTGCATGTCTGAATGAGTAGACCTATAAATGCATAGAGAGAATTATGTTTGTGAAGCAAAGCCATAATTTCCACTATAGTTTTTCTCTGACACTAACCCTAATAGAACATCTATTTCAGTATTATTTTGAAAACACACACCTCAGTATACAGTAGAATTTATTTTGTGTCTTGTATGCTATTACAGTGGCCCCCAACCTTTTCTGAATCACAGACCGATTGGGGGGACAGGGCACCTCCATGCTCTC